GAAGACTCTTGAGAGTCGCTTGGACTGCAAGAAGGTCAAATCAGTCAATCCTCAAAGAAATCAACCCTGACTGTTCCCTGGAAGGCCAGATAATGAAAGTGAAGCTCAAATACTTTGGCCACCAAATGAGAAGGGAGCAGTCACTGGAGAAGACCCTGATGCTGGAAAAGATTGAAGGTCAAAGAAGACGGGGACAGCAAAGGATGAAATGGTTAGACAGTGTCATAGATGCAATGAACATGAAATTGAGCAAACTTCAGAGGACGGCAAAAGACAGGAAGGCCTGGCGTGATCTGGTCCATGGGGTCGCGAAGAGTCGGACTCGACTGTGCGACTGAACAACAACAAATTCACTATTTAGACAGTGGACGTCTCTAGGAAATAATCTAAAATGGATGTAATCTACAAACTATACTTTCATGTGTCATGAATCTGACCACACAGATCAACTCAACACAGGATTGTCTAGACTATGCTTAGAGTGCTTCTGCAGATCTAGATGTTCAGATAAAAATAAATGGAATGCACTCAGTATTTATGGTTAGATGCACACCTTAATGTGGCGAGGGGGGGATTGTATATGTCAGCAAAGCTGAGAGCAATACCATAAAGAACTTATACTCTGTCAAGAGGCTAAACTCCTAGCAGAGTCACTCAAGGTGGAATGGTCACAGCTGAGACACCAGACCAGAATGCATTCACCCCCTTCAGGGACCAATAGCCACATCAACATATATAACAATATATATAATAATAATATATAACCAGAAATCACCGTATCCCACTGATTTTCCTCACCCCACCAAGTTTCTGAAATACCCACAATGTCTATTTTCCCCTCCAACACCAAGCACTCCAACTCCCCGATTTTACCTTGGACACTTCTAGCATTTGTATAGAGACACCTATAATTTCCCATACATGTTCAGCCTGAAACCTTCCTCTTGCTCTCTCAAGACCTTGTCAGGCAGTCCATATCACTAGCGATAGTCTCAGTGGACAATTCCAACCCACCTCCCTGTAGAAAAGCAACAGCTACCCCCTCATCTCTTCGAGATGAGCCTTCCTGAACCAGAGACTTTTCAACTCCTCTTGGCTTTCCCCCAATATTCAGTTTAAAAACTGCTCTGCCACCTTTTTGATTTTAAGCGCCAGCAGCCTGGTTCCTTCTCGGGACAAGTGGAGACTGTCTCTTTTGAACAGCTCCCTCTTGTTCCAAAAAGCATCCCAGTGCCTAACAAACTTGAACCCTTGCCCCCTACACCATAGTCTCATCCACGCATTGAGACTCCTGATCTGTGCCTGTCTCTCCGGCCCTGCGCATGGAACAGGTATCACTTCTGAGAAGGCTACCTTAGAAGTATTAATCAAGGTAATGAATCAAAGTATGAATCAAGGTAAATTCAAAATCGTAAAATGAGAAATGGAATGTTTAAACATTGCAATCCTGGGAACTAAGTAGACTGGATTAGGACATTTTCAGTCAGAAAAATACAGTGTTTTGCTCAGGAAATTACAAACACAGAAGAAACAGAGCTACTCAAATAGTGATGTGAGATGTAGCACAAGCAGTCAGGGGCTATAATGCAAAGTCTGACTGAATGATATCCATCAGACTTCATGGAAAGTCTATCAACATAACCACCATTCAAGTTTACATTGCAACTACAGATGCTGATGAGGAGGACACTGAAAGCTTTTATGCAAGTGTCCAGGAAGAAACTGATTACACATCTAACAAGATGTGCTGATAACCTTAGGCAACTGGAATGCAAAAGTAGGAAACAAAGAAACTTCAAATATTGCTGGAAGATTTGGGCTAAGAACACAAAATAAAGCAGGAAAGCAACTCAAAATTCTATAAAGACAGCAATTTGTTCACTGCAAACATGTTTCAGGCAACTAAACAGATACATGGACCAATGTTCCCTCTAAGCTGTGGAGTCCTGTGAGCAGAAATTCTACTTTGTGAGCTACTGGCATTAAAGTTGTGAGCAGGTAGTTTGGCTGCTGCATAAAATTAGTTTGCTCTGGAGCCATCTTTCCTGAGCTAAGACAAAAATGTGTGAGCTGGAGGCTAAAAAACTGTGAGCTAGCTCACACTAACTCAGCTTAGAGGGAACACTGACATGGACATAACCAGAGGGCCAATATAGCAGTAAAAGAGATTATGAAATCAGAAGCAGAAGCTGGAGAAGAACCAAAATGTTCATAGTGTCAAAATACAATCTAAACAACATTCATATTCGTATTCTTATACCTTTATTGGCATGTCAGCAATCACAGCTAAATAATAATAGAATAGAATACAGAATACAAAATCCATCAGATATCAAACTTCATGCAAGACTTTCATAATGGGGGGAGAAGGAAAGGAGAACCAGAAACAACTATAAACAACATTCCTTAAGAGTTTAAAGACTATGTAAAGAACAGATTTGCATCACTAAGTTCAACTGAACATGAGCCAGAAGAACTATGGGTTGAAACCAATGCTCCCTCTAAGCTGTGGAGTCTTCTGAGCAAAAATTCTACTTTGTGAGCTACTGGCATTAAAGTTGTGAGCGAGCAATTCGGCTACTGCATCAATTAGTTTGCTCTGGAGCCATCCTTTCTGAGTTAAGATAAAAATGTGTGAGCTGGAGGCTAAAAAACTGAGCTGGTTCACACTAACTCAGCTTAGAGGGAACACAGGTTGAAACCAGAGATATTATCAAGGGAGAATATGCAATGACTATTCCTGTGACCAAAAGAAATGAAAAGCCTCAATGGATGACTAATGAAACTCTTAAAATTGGTAGTTGAGAAGCAAAAGTATAAAGTGACAGAAAGAAAATCAGAACATTAAATGCAGTGTTCAGAGACAAAAAAAGCTATTATAATAACCAGCGTAAAGAAACAGAAGAGAACAGCAAAAAAGAAAGAACAAGAGATCTTTTCCACAAGATCCAAGAAATCAAAGGAAAATCTAAAGCATGGTTAGGCATGCTGAAAGATCCACATGGAAATATAGTAACTGTACAGAACAAAATAAAGAAAAAAATGGGAACAATACACTGGAAAACTATACAAAAGAGATGAAAGGATAGATTCCTACCAAGAAGAAACCTTTGAAGAAGAACCTACAGTTTTAGAAAGTGAGGTGAAAGCTGCACTGGGAACAATTGGGACAAACAAATCACCAGGAGTAGATGGCATATCAATAGGCCAATTCTAAGCCACAGAAATGGAGTCCATCAAAATCTTAACAAGAATATACCAACAAATAACAAGAATATACCAACAAATAACAAGAATATACCAAAAAATATGAAAGACAAAACAATGGCTAATAGATGGGAAATGATCAATTTACATTCCAATTCCAATAAAAGGAGATGTTAAAGACTTCAGCAATTATCGGGCCATCACATTAATTTCTCATGCAAGTAAAGAAAGGATCAAAATCTTACAACAAAGGCTATTATTATTATTGTTATTATTATTAATTCAGTTTATATTCCTCTCTATCTTGCAAGAGGGCTAACGGCAGCTCACAATAAAACAATAAATAAAAAATCATAAAAACACCAATCATTTCATATAGATGAATTAGTTAGTTTAAATAATATCTGATGGCAGCTATACATTTCCTAATTCCAGTGCATGCTGCAGCAATTTCAGGAAGGGCACGCTTTCTCAAGTTAATGTGAGTCAACTGATAATGATGTCATATTGATATAATCAGTGCTCTAGACAGATGAGGCCAATTGAGCAGATTGATTGAGTTAGCAGGGAAGGCTGATTTAATTTGAATACCTGCCACCTTTGCCAAAAGCCTGGTGGAACAGCTCTGTTTTGCAGGCCCTGCGGAATTGTCATAAATCCTGCAGGGCCCTGATCTCAACCAGGAGCATGTTCCACCAGGCAGGGACCAAGGTAGAGAAGGCCTTGGCCCTGGTCGAGGCAAGGTGGACATCCTTTGGGTCGGGGACTATTAGGTGGTGCTGCTCAGCAGAGTGCAAGGCTCTTTGGGGCACATATGTTACCATACGTGGAACACACATGGAACATACATGGAACAAGAAATACTAGATGTTTAAGGTGGATTCAGAAAAAAAAATCATTAGAGATTCTATTGCAAATTTACATTGGTTACTGGAGCAAATGAGAGAATTTCAGAAGAAAATCAGCTTGTGTTTAATTGATTACAGCAAAGCTTTTGACTGTGTGGATTATGAAATTCTATGCTTTGTTTTAAAAGAAATGGGTGTGCCACAGCATCTGATTGTTTTGACGCGCAACCAGTACTCTGGACAAGAGGCTACTGTTAGGACAGAATACAGAGAAACATAATGGTTTCCAGTTGGCAAAGGTGTCAGACAAGAATGTATTTTATCTCCTTATGGGTTCAATCTGTAAGTCAAACACATCATAATGAAAATTTCTGCGCCCCTGATCCGTCCCTCTTCCGAGCCAAAACCTCCCGTGTGACCGGGGCCACAAAAAGGTTAAAGCAGAAATTGCTAAAGCAGGATTACAGCTGAATATCAAGAAGACAAAAGTAATGACTACAGGGGAATCACACAAACTTTCAAAGCTAGTTAATTATCCAGAGTTAGTACAACAAAATATTTCATTTTTACAAAATCTCCTTCCCCTATTTTATTAGCTCAACAAGGCTACTGTATCCCAACTATTTATGGTTTATGTATCTGTGTGAATGATAGGAATGGCGCCTTAATTCATTCATAGCATGATGTCGGCCAACTACTGTGACAGTCCTGGATATCAGTATGTCAAATGGACCCACTAAAATATGTTGTTGAGCTAAGCTACTATGGTTTCTTGGCACACTGAAAACCTTCCTTTGTCCATAAGTATGGCTCAGCTATTAAGTATAAGTTATGCCCCTAATAAGATAATTATGTTAGTCCAACATTGACTGACTGTCAGGAGGAAGAGCTGTGCAGGAGGTATCAGAGTCAAGGAGGTATCAGAGTCAAGGCATTACAGCAAACCTTTTGGCTTTCTTTCAGGTTCATTCCACTCATATCATCTGCTGCACGGTGGGCATGAGCATCTAAATCTACTAGAGAAACAAAGGAGGAAAGAAAAAAGGGATGAAAGAAATGATAATGAAGAAGAAGAAGAAGAGATTGGATTTATACCCCCGCCCTTCACTACCCAAAGGTGTCTCAGAGTGGCTTACAAACTCCTTTCCCTTCCCCTCCCCACAACAGACACCCTGTGAGGTGGGTGGGGCTGAGAGAGCTCTGACACAAACTGCTCTTTTTCAAGGACAGCTGTGCTAGAGCTTGCGACTGACCCAAGGTCACATCAGCAGGTGCAAGTGGAGGAGTGGGGAATCAAACCCGGTTCTCCCAGATTAGAGTCCGCACACTTAACCACTACACCAAACTGGCTCTGGTTCTTTTCCTGGTTCTTTCCCTCAGAGAATGAAATGAATTAACGTAGAGGGAGTTCTTGGAGAAATTATGCAAGTTTGGGGGCAAAGAAACGTAACATGGATGAAATCGAATCTTCCTCATACCAAATCAGTTCATTTAGTTTACTGTTGTCCTCTTTGACTTGCAGCAGAGCTCCAGGACCTTAGGCTGGTTTCACATACGTCGAATAATGTACTTGCCATACACTTCAGCAAACGATTGCTATAGTGCATAGAAAGTGTGTTATCCCACATGTGTGACAGCAACCTCAGACCAAAAAAAGAAAAAAAGCCCTTCCTCATAATGGCTGCCTCAATTTTTTTAACTGGAGATGCTAGTGACTTTCTACATTCTTCAGTGAGAACTTTAATTCTACATGGCCAAACCAAGCCAGCACCTAAATCAGCCCTGTACAAACTGATCCACAGCCGGCAGGTTTTGTACTGTAGCCTGCCAGGGTCTTCAGAGTCTCAGGCAGATGATCTCGACTCGGGTTTCCATACAAGTGGGATGGTCAGAACTTATGCAGGCCGGCTTCCAAGTCCACAATTTAATCTACAGTTCTGGACATTTCTTTAAAGGTATTCCCAAGCATCATAAATATACATTTACAGGCTGGACATGGTTAATTCTCAGGAGTTTCCTTCCTATTGATAATGAATATATATGAAAAGGGCCTTTTCTTCTCCGATGAATCCAGAGGACAGAACACTCACAACTGTCACAAGCAACTGTGAGAACAGTAAATTATACTGTGAGCGGAGGGAAAATGAGAGTGGAGATGAAAATGAGTTGTGAACAGAGCAAGAGAGAAAAAGGGAATTTATCCTTAGGTATCTGTATAACATTTGGCTCACAAAATAGAGGGAATTTATCCTTAGGTATCTGTATAACCTTAGGCTCACAAATGCAACCTGATGTACAGGCCTAAGAAGGTCTTGGTAGGCCTCCACATTTTGTTTCCTGCCCAGGATTGCAAAAACAGGAGAGGTGATACTTAGCAGGCCATAATATTGGGCTGCTTTCAGCTTCGCAGGTACCAAGTTGTGCTGGCTTGTTTCACATAAACCATATGCAAAGCATGTGAGTGTTCACCTCCTTCTTTTATTTATTTCTCTATTTGTATCCTCACCTCTCCTGGAGATTCAGATAGGTAACAACATATTTTGAAACTAGGAATGACGGCCAAAGAAGTAAATACAAGACAAGGACCTGTAGTCAGTCCATCCTACCCCACTGCATCGTTGTAATCATTCAAAGCAACCACAGAATTGAATGTGGAGCCTTCCCTGTTCTTGCCACCTCTGCTTCACCACACTGGCCCTGGGGGACGCTACTTCGGTCTCTGGTATTAGAGACATTTTGTAAAACTGCAGGAAAAACAGTCTGTCTGCAGGTGCCTTTTTCTAACAATTATTTTATTTACCTAAATTATAGGCCACCTTTCTCACTGAGAAGCACTGAATAGTTTTGTTAACCACATGAGCTGTACAAGAGGTTCCAGGACATGTACAGCTCTATAACTTGGTTGTGGAGCTTACCATGGGTGTGAAGGCTTCTGTAATGCTATCAGGGCTATTTTTGGGCAGGAACGCACAGGAACGGAGTTCCGGCTGGCTCCTGAGTTGGCCACGCCCAGCAGGAATTCATTAGCATAACAGGCCACACCCAACAGCAGAAACTCATTAGGATTGGCTACATTAGGGGTGTGTGGTCTAACATGCAAAGAAGTTCCTGCTCCAAAAAAATACCAGGGTTTTGACAACAAACAAAGTAAACAGAATATGAAGCAAAAGGTGAGTGTGGTAACATGGGGGTATGGCCTAATATGCTAATGAGCTGTGATGTCAGAGTGTGGCTTAATATGCTAATGAGTTTCTGCTGCTGGGTGTGGCCTATTATGCTAATGAGTTCCTGCTGGGCTTTTTCTACAAAAAAAGCCCTGAATGCTATTATAAATGGAACTGAGATGCCAGACATCTAAAATACCAGAAACCGTGGTAGCACAGCAGCATATGATTCAGCGTCCATTTGTAAATATCATTAATTCTGACCTTTATTTGATTTTTAGCCCTCCCTCCCCTGCAAACAGGTTCAGGGTGGGTGACAGCAATAGCAACAGTTATAACGATAAACATAAATTAACTACTAAAACAGTATCCGACGGCAGCCAAAACAATAAGACAGCTAATACAGCCCAAAAGAGTTTTGTCAGGGCTATTTATGTAGCAGGAACTCCTTTGCATATTAGGCGACACACCGCTAATGTAGCCAATTCTCCATGAGCTTACAGTAGCCCCTGTAGGAAGAGCTCTGTAAGCTCTTGGAGGATTGGCTACATTAGGGGTGTGTCGCCTAATATGCAAAGGAGTTCCTGCTACAAAAAGAGCCCGCGCAACAGTGGCTATTAAGGTACTATAAAAACAAAACGAGTGGGCTAGGGAGAGAAAACACAGGGGGAGGCCAGACTAGATGGTTACCACTGCCTCAACCATAGGCCTGGTGGAACAGCTCCTTTTTATAGGCCCTGCCTTTAAAAAAATTAGGGGTGTTTTTGTGACCAGAGGTCTGCCAATATGGCAAGCACAGAATTCTGCTTTAGCTATAGTGGTGTAAGATTCTGGGCTACAACATTTACAGTGATTTTATAAACTTGGACTGTTTACTAGGAAGTACAGATGGCTCTGGAATTATTTCTTGTTAGGGATAAAAAACTGAGATGTACTTTTTTATCTCGGGCCATCGTTACCTGCTCTCATGCTAAAAGATCCTCTGAATCTGTAGCGTTTAATCAAATTAATAAAAACAGAAAAACAAATGACTATGTGGTTTATTTCCACAACTCAAAGGCGTTGGATGGCTTCTGACCATGCACAAATTTTGAGAGAGCTACAGGGTCGTTTGATAAAGTTCATTAAGCACATTCCTACATGTTAGGCGAAAGGCATTACTTACGTCGATGCTTGGGAGGGGGAGGGGGAGGAGGATGCACTTCTGCAGTTACAGTTCTGGGGGGCTTGGGGGGCTCTTTCGGGGCCCAGTCTTCTTCCCACTGCTTTTTAAGTTTCTCTTCCTCAGCAGTTATCCTAGAAAGAAACACAAGTATGATCTACTTGGATTTGTTTGAAGAGGTTGACTAACCAATAGGACTAACCTGAGCACGTGTCTTCATAGCTCAAGGTAGCTGAAAAATCTCAATTTAAAACATGCAGAATAAAATGAAATCAAAAATCCCTCCCTCTAAAACATACCTATTTTATTCCCCATTAAAAAGCCCTGGCATATAGATTCATTCTAGCACCTCCTAAAATTTCTAAAGAAATGGCGCCCCCCTCACCTCCTCAGGAAGCCCATTCCAAAGATGTATGTGTTATAGAGATGTATTTTATGAAAAATGAAAATAAATGATTAAAATTTTTTTCCTAATTTTCTAAATTCTAAATTTTAAGGGTCACAGTTCTGAATCTGAATTCCACTTTTGAATTTTGGTGCTGGTACATATGCCTATAATCCTAGTGTCTCAGGATGCAATATTATGTAGTACTTTCTTCTAAGTAAACTATAGGTTTGTGCTGTCAACAACTCTGAAAGGGCAGCATGGTTGAAACAGAAGGTTCCAGAGTATCACTTTGTAGTTTTTCCTTTTCCCCTTCAATTTAAGCTTTCAGGCAGGATAGAATACTCTCTGCCTGCCATCTTCTTTCTCGACAAGAATGCCAGTGCGATCCTTTCCTGGCAGTACTCAAAATATGATAAACTGGTACTGAACGCTATTTTTGAAGGGAAATCTATTTGGAAGACCCTGATTGTTTTGTTTTCCCCAAAGACACATCATCTAAAACAGCAATTATAAAAACACACATTTTATACAGGAAAAAAGAACACGGGAAAAGGCGACTTAACTCTTCAATTTCTTTACGGTATCTTTCTTCTTCCTCGGCAGCCTTCTGTGCAATCTCCAGCTTTCGTCTGCAGAAAAGGAAACGGCCAACTGAAAGTTAACATAACTATGCCAATAATTTTGAGCATTAAACCAAAATTCAACAACAACAAAAAGTTGTATACCAGGTGCTTGAGATCCACTAGAATCGATGTGCAATCACCTAGTCATGCAAATCAGCCAAGCAGGAATCTCCTAAACCTCATACTCTTGCTGCCTGCCTAAACGTGCATAAAAAGAAGGGAGAGAGGTATACTTCAAGCAATGGGAAGGATACAATTTGAGCTACTGGGTTCTTCTCAGTTTCTGGAGGCCAAGCTTAGCACTCCTCTTCTATACCCTAAGATGTTTCATCTTTTTTGGAAGGGTTTTTAAATGACAATTTCTGTCTACCCTACACTCCACCACAAAAAACATCTGTGCTTGGAGAACCCCAAATGAGCACTTGGTATGAAATCGACAAATGAGAAATCTAAGGTTTCCTGAGCATCCCTAAGTAAGTAGGTGTGGCAGACAGGAAGCTGTCCTGCCCTTGAGGGGGAAAACAGCCACTAAGCTGAGTCTATAGAGTGCTGCTCCAGCATCCAGTCTCCTTTCCAGAAGGGGATGAAATGTTGGGAGGGAAGCTCAGCAGAGTTCAGATCTGCCTCTTGGACTGCCTCAGCCAAAGAGGAGGCCGTTAGGAGGGTAGCTCTGCCTGATAGTGTGGCGGAGTGGTTTAAACTCTACCCTCTGGGAGAGAACAGAGTACACGGTTCTTAGGCCGGTCTCTAGTAATGAGCAGACCTTGTATGATTTGGTCTGTTTCTTGGGAAAGGGCAGGTTGGTGTGGATGGAATCCTGTGTGAGAGAAAGGATTCAACCTAGTGGCTAGCCAGTAAAAGCCTGTTTGTGTCTGAAGGACCGGGGCCAAAGAAAATTTAAATCACACTTGGAAGCCACAACCAATGTTCCCTCTAAGCTGAGTTAGTGTGGGTTGGCTCACCGTTTTTTAGCCTCCGGCTCACACAGTTTTGTCTTAGCTCCAGGGCCAACTAATGTATGCAGTAGCCAAACTGCTCGCTCACAGCTTTAATGCCAGTAGCTCACAAAGTAGGAATTATTGCTCACAGGACTCCACAGCTTAGAGAGGGGGTACTGGCCACAACCCGCTTGAACTTCTGCGTCTCAGCCAGGTTTCTCCTCTGACTATCTGGAGACCTGTTCTGTTGATCGGTTCTTTGAAACTAACCAGTAAATAAATAAATAACAACTCTGAAAGGGCAGCATGGTTGAAAAGTTTTTCCTTTTCTCTACAATTTAAGCTTTCAGGCAGGATACAAGACTCTTTGTCTGCCATATTCTTTCTCTACAAGACTGCCAATGCAATCCTTTCCTGGCAGTACTCAAAATATAATAAACTGGTACTGAACGCTGTTTTTGAAGGGAAATCTATTTGGAAGACCCTGATTGTTTTGTTTTTCCCAAAGACACAACATTGTCTAAAACAGCAATTATAAAAACACACATTTTATACAGGAAAAAAGAACACGGGAAAAGGCGACTTAACTCTTCAATTTCTTTACGGTATCTTTCTTCTTCCTCGGCAGCCTTCTGTGCAATCTCCAGCTTTCGTCTGCAGAAAAGGAAACGGCCAACTGAAAGTTCACATAACTATGCAAATAATTTTGACCATTGAACCAAAATTCAACAACAACAAAAAGTTGTATACCAGGTACTTGAGATCCACTAGAATCGATGTGCAATCACCTAATCATGCAAATCAGTCAAGCAGGAATCTCCTAAACCTCATGCTGCCTGCCTAAAAGTGCATAAAAAGAAGGGGGAGCCTTCACTCTTGCTGCTTTAAGAACATTTGGTAACTGAAGGGACGGTGTACAGTTTAAAACAAATCTGGGTCCCCAAAATCATAGGAGGCTATGTAGGTCCCCTCAGTTGGTAAAAAGGGCCTGTCACAGTAAGTCTCAGGTTAAAGTCTGACAAGGTTAGCAGAGAGTGCGTATAAGAATAAGCAAGGCTTGGAGCTGTATTATTTATCAAGCTAATTAATGAAAATTGATGCAAATGCCATTGCTGAAAGCATATCCAGCAAATTGCCATGTAGGCTTACAATAGTATAAAGATTTTTCCTATTGAATATTATTCTGTTCATTATGGCATTTTATTCATTCGTATGTACTAATAAAATGTTGAGTTGATATAAACATTAATATGTCTTATTAAATTATATTTTGTCCAGAGAATTGTAGGGTTTTCTTCTTCTGAAAGTCAAACATCATGCTTAATTCAGTAACATGTTTAAGAGATCAGTACTGTTGTTTATAGACTGGCAAAGAGGCATAGAATGTTTTGAACACATGCACACTGAACTGTTGATGGAAATACCTACAGAGGAACCAGAGCATATGAAAATAGAAAAGATACCCAGATCTCTCTTCCCATGTCTTCTTTCTCTCCCCTGAACTGACTGTTGATACCATACCATTCATAAGAAATTGAAGGTAATACCTAAACACTATAAAAGTAAACGATGTAGACATTTCAATGTTCTGACTCCTCCAACAGAAAAAGTAACATTAACTAAGAAGCTTGAAGCAATTATAACAATAGTCAGTGATGGTCAGACCATTTCTACCACAAGCTCTTACAATCTCTCTTTTTCTTGCTGCTCTTTCACAATTTTATTGGTCTCTAGTGCCAGCCGCTTCTGACGCATCAGCTCTTGGCGTTCCATCTCATGACGATACTCCTCTCGTTGCTTCTCCTCTTCAGTCATAAACAACTCTCTTCCCTAAATATTATTTAAAAGCCATATTAATTACATATTTCTAGCAAAAAATTCCATGACTCCTGATAGTGCCAGAATTTCTTGGCATTCCTTTCTCCACTTAATGGCCTATTATGCATCGGTGTTTTGCCTTGCTTTCACCATGTATGTCTGTTGTATTTTCTGTTTCATTCTGCATTTCCTCCCTTCAGCGCTCAGTTTGATTTCCATTTGCTGTTTTCCTGGGTTTTCTGAGAGTGCTTTTGTGCTGGTTTTTCCCTTCCTTCACTTCCAAGCTGAAGGTAATTCAAAAGAATACAGATTCCCTCAGATTTCACCCCCTGCCCTTTTCCCACCCCTCATAGGCCAGTCCCATGCACACAGTCCCATGCACCCCTCATAGGCCAGTCCCATTTCCCACCCCTCATAGGCCAGTCCCATGCCAGTCCCATGCACACCGACTCTGTTAATAAGCCGGATGAGTCTAGCGATTTGAGACTATTGCTAGTCTCAGAATGCTGTAAAAAAAAGAAATGACCCCAGCTGGGCTGGCCTTTCTTGCCACCTGGTTTAAACTGGGTGGCGGGAGGAGGCAGTGCTAAGCTGTGCGTGCAGGGTGCCATTGGTTCCCCACATGCATAGCGACCCCGGCTGGGCTGCCCTCTCCTGACTGCCCGTTTAAGAGAAGAGGCAGCTGTCCTCTCCTTACTGTCCCTAAAAGAAAAGCATACGCACACACATGTGCACGCACAGACACTGTCTACAACCATTACTTGCAATGCCACTGTCACTCTGTACACTCAACAAGTTCCCCATATTATGAGATGGCATGACTCTTTCTCATTTTTCACAGTGGCCGATAAGAGCAGAGAATCCTCTTGTGCTCAACAATATGGAAAACGGGGATTCGCAGCTGCTTGCCAGTTGCAGGAAAAGTGAGGTCAGTTTCAACAGTGGGCTGCCTGCATTCAACTAACTAACACTAAAATGTTTGCACAAAACCTGAACCACAAGGATTTAAATGGAAGGTGCTTGCTGGACACTACTGTATGGCTGTGATAGTGCAATTGCATAAATAAAAGAAAAAAACTTTTAGACGCCACCCCCCACACGTCACAAGTGATGTTCCACCCCAATTCAGAAAAACTGAAAAACTGCAGAATGACACACTGGAGGGGGGAAATGGTACATAAGGCAGGAACAGAATCCAAACTCAAGCTTAAAGGCTTACTGCTGAGAAAATCTGTAGTAAGCAGTGCGTGCATAATAGGCCAATGTCTGTATAAACAAGATACTTTTAAAAACATTGATAACAATCACTTTCATTCTAAGATCTATCAATATAGCTGGTTTGTGTTTACTGTTCTGTAAGAAATCTGGTGAATTTTATATATAAATATATAATTGTTAGTTCCACAAATATAACATACTGATTAATTTTCTATAACTGTTACATATAATATAAAATAATGATTCAAACAATTTTATTTTTAGAGTTTTAAAATAAAAATGGCAAGTGTTGAAAACTTTTCAAATTTTAAATGTTGGCATAATCTCGGGGTGTGTGTGTGTGTGTGTGCGCTGGGGGGCGGGGGTATTAGAAGTCAGAGGATCCTGTTAGTATGAAGACCAAACATTAGTATGAAGACCAAATGGTAGATTCCATATACTATTATGATTTGAATGCATGAAATGTTTAAAACTGGAATGCTTTTCACAGATGTATATAAGAGACCTGTGTCTTGATGCTGCTGTTGTCTTGCAGTAGCCTCCAGTGTTCCCTCTAAGCTGAGTTAGTGTGAGCTAGCTCACAGTTTTTTAGCCTCTGGCTCACAGTTTTTTGTCCTGGCTCAGGAAGGATGGCTCCAGAGCAAACTAACTTATGCAGTAGCCAAATCGCTCGCTCACAACTTTAATGCCAGGAGCTCACAAAGTAGAATTTTTGCTCACAAGACTCTACAGCTTAGAGGGAACATTGGTAGCCTTACCTCTATTTTCCTGTTACTGCTTGTCTTCACACTGAGTAGTGTGAACACAGCATTCAGAGGTGTGATTCTTAGCTGGTGATACAAGCATTCTGTGTTAGTCATCAGTGATTCAAATAACTGAGAATATATTTCAGGAATTAGGTTATTCAAACTAATGTTTTCCCTTGTTCATTCGAAACAAGAATGTTAGCTGAAAACATGGATGCGGCATGTTTGGTAAGGAGACTTGCTAGAAGAAAACACAGTAAATGCTATTTAAGTAGCTAAATGATTAATAAATATTTGCAGATCAGCAGTAGGCACTCGTAGGCTCCAATGCACACATTGCATGACTGTAACCAGAAAGTTAACTTCTTTTGGTGGCTAGTTAATTATGTGGTCTACCATGATTGATGGCTAGTTTCTCTCATGGCTTTATGTACAACAGCAATAGCAACTATGGGATAAGAAAGCTGCAGATACCTTGGAAAGATTTCGGTATGGCTGGTGACAGGAGAGCGAGGGACCTGCTGAAGCCCATCGTTTGCCGGATAGCTGTCACCCACAAAAGCGCTTCAACAATCCATACGCACAGGGCTCTTTTTGTAGAAAAAGCCCAGCAGGAACTCATTAGCATAACAGGCCACACCCAACAGCAGAAACTCATTAGCATATTAGGCCACACCCCTGACATCACAGCTCATTAGCACATTAGGCCGCACCCCCATGTTACCAGAAGTGTGCTCATCCAGCCACACCCACCTTTCGCTTGTTATTCCGTTTACCTTGTTTGTTGTCAAAACCCAGGGCTTTTTTATAGCAGGGACTCCTTTGCATGTTAGGCCACGCACCCCTAATTGTAGCCAATCCTAATGAGTTTCTGCTGATTAGTGTGGCCTATTATGCTAATGAGCTCCTGCTGGGCGTGGCCAACTCAGGAGCCAGCCGGAACTCCGTTCCTGTGCGTTCCTGCCCAAAAATAGCCCTGCATACGCATCAGGAAGTGGAAGATCACCCCAACGCAACAACACAAGGGCCTCTTGGATGATCTCCCATATCCTGATGGCATCCGGTGGAGGCAGCACAGTGTGGTGTTCTCATGAACGACTTGCACTCTCCTCCCTCCAGATTACTAAGAAACGGGAGATTTTTTTTCATATAGCATTCACTCATTTCCTGGTTGGAGAAATGCGCTCTAGCTCTTTTTATACTTCTTTGTCACTGATCCCAGAGAGGTAGGGAGGTAGAGGGTACCAGTGTTCCCTCTAAGCTGAGTTAGTGTGAGCTAGCTCACAGTTTTTTAGCCTCTGACTCACAGATTTTTGTCTCAGGTCAGGAAGGGAGGGCTCCAGAGCAAACTAATTTATGCAGTAGCCAGATTGCTCGCTCACAACCTTAATGCCAGTAGGTCACAAAGTAGATTTTTTGCTCACAAGACTCCACAGCTTAGAGGGAACATTGGAGGGTACATGTGTAGGCAACTGAGGATCCATCGGGGGAGGTATAGCAAGTTGAGAAGATGATACAAGGTGGCAGGCATAGCACTGGGGGGGCATCTTTCCAGGGGAGGAGGCTGGATTTTGGACTTATCCTGAACAATTAGTGCTTGATTAGCCTCCTGAAACCCTCCCACAAAGCATAAAACAAGAAGAATAACTGAATTCTTTTTTTCTGAAGTGTCATTTTTTTTATTTACCAGTGTCCCACATAGTCCTTTTTCCAGGGGTCATTTCCTGCAGCAGAGCTCCGGCAGTAAAGAGCCCAGGGGGCGGGCACATGCAACAAGCCCCACCCCCTGCTCCCAGCAGCTCTCAGTCAAAGGATGACCACCTGACCCAGCAAAGTTGGGGGCGGGGGCTTGGCTGGGGGAAACCCAGAAAGTTCAAGCATGCTTTTCATGACAATATGACAATTTTTGCCAATATACCCTGTCATTAAATTGGTAAAGATCCGAGAGTAGCTGTAAAATCCTGACTGGGTTAGAAGAATGGGCAGATGAGCCAAGTAAGGTATAAAGAATGAAGGATCTCCAGCATGAAGTCAGAAAGAGAGGCTACAAGCCTCTCTCTGTCATTTCCTGTCTTTCAAGCAGGGGTAATTTCCTGCAGGAGCGCACAGGAGCGGAGCTCCAGTAGTAAAGAGCCCAGGGGGCGGGTACATGCAACTAGCCCCACCCTCTGCTCCCAGCAGCCCTCAGTCAGAGGAAGAAGCAGCCAGGTAAGTTGCAGAGTCCCCACCCCCACCCCGGCCCCTGGCCAAAACACTCCAGTGGCCCCTTTAAGACCAAGTTTTATTCAGGTACAAGCTCTCCCTCCTCTGTGAGGACAGATCTGCATGCCCCCCCCCCACAGCTAGCAATCCAAAACAGTCCAGTGGAGCCTGAGCGGTGGGTGTTGCCTTCTGACATACTTCCGGTGATGCCAGGTGGTGTGGCATATGCAAATAAGTTATGCTAATGAGTTGTGCTAATGAGCTCCTGCACCTTTTTTTCTACGAAATGACCTCTACCTTTTTCCATATTCCAGTTTAGCACATTTAATTCCATTGAAACATGCCACACACGGGAGAAAGAGCTTCGGCCGTTTAGCCCTGAAGCTGGGAACGAAACACTCTCCCACGGTTCCCAAGAAAACCAGACATCAACATTTCCACCTGCAATACTTAGAGATAAGCGGTGTAGCAGCAAAGAAGCACAGAAGGAATGCAAAGGCAATTAGAAGACAAGCAACCTCCCCACCCAAATGGCAGCATAGCTGACACCTCTAAGCTGAGTTAGTGTGAGCTAGCTCACAGTCTTTTAGCCTCCAGCTCACCCATTTTTGTCTTGGCTCAGGAAGGAGGGCTCCAGAGCAAACTGATTGATGCAGCAGCCGAATCGCTCGCTCACAACTTTAAGGCCAGTGGCTCACAAAGTAGATTTTTTTGCTCACGAGACTCCACAGCTTAGAGGGCGCATTGGCTGCAACACTACCTTATTACACTTACTATAAACAGTGCAGCTTTAAATTTAGCCTTAGGACCAAACTACAATGGACGGGTTCATCTTATGGCCACCGATGACATTTTAAAAGCATTTGTAGTTCATTAAAAATTGCCATGAGGCCCTGATCCAGATTGGTCATGTGCCATGGTGACCCTAGAAGCTCTTGTTCCCTCCATGTCTTTTCATGTGCAGAAACGCACACATGCACACACACCCCGGCTGTTCCCACATTTGAAAATAATGGGGGTAGGGAAACAAGGGCTCCTGGGGCCGCCACATGCCCAGTCCGAATTGGAGACTTGCAGCAAATTTTAAAGAACTACAAATGCTTTTAATGTGGTGTCAGAAGCCACAGGATGAACCCTTGCTCCCTGTCCCTTGTAGTGTGGTCCGAAGTTTTATCATTATGTGTTATTTTAGTAGGCAGACCCTTCCTCCTGCAGTGGGGCAGTATATAGTTTAGACAGCCCTTTTAATATCACCCCAATCCTGTATATACACGACAATGCCTGGACCAAAAGTGAACAAAATGGATGCTAGTCAGGCAGTACCCTGGGAAAATAGTTTTCAGGGCATAAGTCACAACAGCTGGCTGGCTACATTTCCCTCCTTACCCTAAAGCAGGGCTATTTGGGGGGCAGGAACACACAGGAATGGAGTTCTGGCTGGCTTCAGAGTTGGCCACACCCACTACAGCCAAAACCTCTGCATGCGTGGCTACAGAGGGAAGGCCTGGAGAGAGACCCCCCCTGGCGACTCCGAGGCGGGAAGGCCAGGAGGGCCCCTGGAAGGATCGGGGAGGCATTTAAATGCCTCCCCGTGCCTTCCCCGGCCTGTCCAAGGGCCGGCAGTTTAAACTGGCTTCCTTTCGCTCCAAGGGCCAGCTTCCCTCCAAGGGCCTGCAGGGCACCCTGGCAAGTAGAGGGAAGTCATGGGGTGTGGCCTAATATGCTAATGGATTTCTGCTGTTGGGTGTGGTCTATTATGGTAATGAGTTCCTGCTGGGCTTTTTCTACAAAAAAAAAGCCCTGCCCTAAAGAGATGCATAATGGGTCCCCCAAGATCTATTGACTCACCCAGGGGACCAATCCTATCAACACCTATGTCCATTTCCCCTATATCCACTTACCTTGATTTGGCGACAGTTAAGCAGCACTTAAGCCTATAAACCTAACCCATTAGTTCAGTACTTGCAGGGTCATCGGACCTTTCCCAAAACTTTTGTCCACCTTAGGAAAGACCATTAAGCTACTGTTTTTCTGGCAAATCTGTCAGCCTGGCCTAGGGTATGTTTTGCCCTATATCAAGAGCACCCTGCTTCCCAGCAGCGTGTGTGTGTTGTGTGACCACATGCACTCCCACTTATGTGGGTTTCTTTTTCTCTCCTGCAAAGAACAAAACACTGGCTGTTTTGCTCTTCATCTTGCTGCTTCCATGGACATCTTCAAGACCGGTAACCATTGGCGTTCCCCCCCAAAAGCTTTCCCTCTTTCCTACCTGATTTCCTCTAAGTTAGCTGTTGTGTTTTTTAGCATGTGTGTATGTTTAGAGTATGTGTGCATGTTTTTTGCTCATTTCTATTTCTTTAAGCATTGGCTGCAACACTACCTTATTACACTTACTATAAACAGTGCAGCTTAAATTTAGCCTTAGGACCAAACTACAATGGACAGGTTCATCTTATGGCCACCGATGCCATTTTAAAAGCATTTGTAGTTTCATTTAATGTAGTTCATTAAAAATTGCCATGAGGCTCTGATCCAGATTGGTCATGTGCCATGGTGACCCTAGAAGCTCTTGTTCCCTCCATATCTTTTCATGTGCAGAAACGCACACATGCACACGCACCCCGGCTGTTCCCACATTTGAAAAGAACGGGGGTAGGTCATCCAGCCTGGTGCAAGTGGAGGAGTGGGGAATCAAACCCGGTTCTCCCAGATTAGAGTCCGCGCACTTAACCACTACATCAAACTAGGTGGAGAATCCCAGTTACCCCCTCTTTCTCTGTCTCCTTAAAGGTAATCCCCCCAGCTAATTAGGAGACTGCCTATTTGGACAACAGCTAAGGTGCTTGAAAGTGTGTAGACATATTTACTCAAATTATAGTTGAAATGAAGTTGACTTGATCTAGCTCTTAGCAGGCAGATGAAGACATTTATATTTTCCCAACTCTTTGACTACAGATAAGGTGTATTAGTTTGAGTTCTCTGCTTTATTTTGTTGTGTTATACTGTTTTAATGTTGCATGATGCTTCATTGATTGATTCTGTGTTTGCTTTTATTGATGGTTTCTAATTGTGTCCTTAATGTTATTGTGTGCCACCTCAGGAACTTTTTACTCAAGGAGGCCATAAAAATATCTGTATTTAATTAGTTCATAGGATCAGCCATGGTATTCTTCTGTGCACCGTGCAGAATTAGAAGGCTGCCAGTCTCAGAAGACGATGTCCTATGTAGTTCCTCAAGACTGAATTTGGTTTCGATATTGACCTGAGATCAGGGTTATTTATTTTTTTAAACAATTTTATTAGGATATACCAATAATTCAAACTATACATCGACTTACAAAACGTTATATATCCTTTTCTCCTACTAACCCCCCCTTCTGACTTCCCGCAGTGCTCCAACCTCCAGCCCAAATCTTGTACTTTTTCTCTTTTCCCCCTTTTTTGTTTGTAAAATTCACCAGGTAACATATCTTTTAACTTGACCTGAGATCAGAGTTATTGAGAGTAGTCATGGGCCACCAGACTAAGGTTCCTCTAGGTCTACATGTCACCTATACTCAACCCAAACATTTTAGGAAAAACTAATCTTACAACTTGCTGTAAGCATAAACAGGCTAAGCTAATAATCAAACTGTAACCCCTCCACATTTCATTCCTCACATTTATAACCCATATATCCTCCAGGGACCTCAGGGAAAAGTTCATTTTGTTTAAGACTACTAGGCTGAGGGAGCTGCGGTGGCTCGAGTGGTTAAGACGCTGAACTGCAGGCTGTGGAAGGTCGGTAGTTCAGCAGTTCGAGACCCGAGTGTGCCAGCTCCTGCCAACCTAGCAGTTTGAAAGCAAGAAACTGCAAGTAGATAAATAGGTACCACTTCAGTGGGAAGGTAACAGCGTTCCGTGCACCTTGGTGTTTAGTCATGCCGGCCACATGACCACAGAAATGTCTTTGGACAGTGCTGGCTCTTCGGCTTTGAAACAGAGATGAGCACCGCAACCCTAGAGTCGGATTCCGACTGGCTTTCGAGCAAGGGAACCTTTACCCTACTAGGCTGAGAACAAATTATTTTCATTACCTCTTTGTGATCCACATTTGAAAAGTCCATTCCATTTACTTCAACAATTTGATCGCCGACCTAAGAATAAGCAAGCAAGCAAAAAAATACATGAAGTTGTAATACGGTTCTTATTTGGCTTATTTTAATAAACTCAGTCATTAATCTTCTTATGTTTCACTTGTTTTGCTTGGACTTCTGAGTGATGTCATTGTGTTTGGTTACTCCAATAATGAAAGGATAACTATTAATATGGATTCAGAATAAATAGTATCCTACAACCAAAGGGGCTGGCATATAGTTCTACTCACCTCTAATCCTACTTCTGCAGATAGAGAATGGGGTTTAACATTACTTATGAAAATGCCTGGTTTTTGTGTAGGACCACTGGAAATACTGGAATGAACAATAACAATAAATTATATTACACTGTAGTATAGTACAAGGAAACAATCTTTATTACAATCTTGACATAACACAAACAGGATGTATTCCTCTTTCAGAACGATGAGACTATGGTTCCTTCCACATGCAAGTATTCCTCCTGCAGTGGGTTTTTTTTTTTGGGGGGGGGGGGGGAGATTCTGTGTGAAACTGATCTACCTTCTTGGTTTCCCCCAGCTTGGCTGCTTTGCTTTGGTAAGATCTTTCCTGAAAGATCATATCCAGAGCAGGCTTGGGAAAAGTAGGGATGGGAAGGTGCAGATTTCTACATCTCTCAGCCCACATCCAGCACCATTTCATTTCTACCATTTCCTTTCTGCCAGTGCGATTTTTTTGCCAACTGTTTTATAAATCTATAGATATAGTGTTATAGTGTTGGTACACTATAGCAATATAGTTACTACTGTGAAATAAAACAGCAGGCAAAAAACTCTCTAGTTGTATGGGGGCAAATGGGGGTGTAATGGAATACTGCAGGGAATATCTCAGTGTAGAAATCGTGTCGGCATTGGGAAGGCCTGCACGTTTGCAATGAAAACAAAATAGGGAATCATCCCTAAATGGGAGCAAACTACATGGACTAGAAGCACAGCTGGTATATTTCATCAAAGCTTTCTTGATATCAATAGATCTGTACCAATCTGCCACTATCAATATCCTGTCATTATAATTAAGCCTGTCACAGTACAAAACATTTAACTGCAGGACAATTGAAGAGCACTACGGCATAAATGTTTTGCCTGAGGTTCAGTGCCTCAGAATGGAGAGGTTCAGATTCAAAATTCCTCAGGTGATTTGAGAAGATGTGAATACTGCACTGAAGTGTCACATCAATCATCAGTTCTCAATAATGATGACTTCACTGCACAGTGATTCAGTATAGGTGGCTCAAAATCTATCAGTTTTCTATACTTTCCTGCAACTTTCTACATTCAAAGGACATAAGACAGATGAAGGAAGTCTGCAGTTTTCTGATACTTTCAGCACAAACATTTGCATCAACATAGTTACATTTGGAACGATCCAATGAAAGTTAAGTTATTTGAAAACTCATAGAGTCTGGTGGAAAAGAGAAGCAAATAACTCTCAAATACTGTTATTAACAGGACTTAAAAGTTCTTAAACTTTGGCTGGATTATTCCCATTACATTTTCCTAGGATGGAAAAAAAATGAGGGGACTTCTTGGATTCGGCGTAGTGAGAACAGTTGCACCAGGACACTCTCCTGTGTGACGGCTGGATCGTTGGCTCGTCTAGAGGGGTTCAGGGGTTCCCGAACTCCAATGAGCTCCCCAAAGAGGAGCTCAGTGCAAGGGGCTTCACTTGGACTCCCCTGCGAGTGGCAGTAAGCGGGCAGGAGTCCTAGATTGCCTTGAGGCAAGAGCTGTTCAAGACTACCCGGGCAAAGGGGGAAAAGTTTTACACCTCATCTATACCATCGATGAAGAATAACACCATGAGTACACTTAAATGCAACAACATCAGAGAATCACCTACCCATCAATAAGCCCCTTTAAAGTTTAAAAAGACAAAGGAAGGAAGGCGTGAAGAACTTTCCTCCCTCCCCTCTCCTTCCTCCTAAAAACGGCTAGGAAAAGATCTTAAAGCAACTTTCTCTTTTTAAAATGGTTTCTGGGGCAAAAAAGCAAAGAAAAGGCTATTGTCTGAGATTATAATATCACCCAATGAAATATAATATCTGAGAAAAATTGGTTTTATTTCTTTGGACTTGATTGAAGCAGTAACAAAACTATTTTTTTTTCTTGGAACTATAAGCAAAGCATTTGGAAATACATGAAGATCTTGTAATAAAGATTATAACTAACTATACTTCTATAAATGGATTACAAATACTTTATTGCTTAAAACGAAAAAGAGGAATTGGATCTTACTTCGAATTTATTATATGCCATATTTTCATAACATTGTATTTTCTTTTGTTGAAACCACAAAAATTTACTGTGTATTGATTGTACTGCACTGCACTTTAAATAACTGTATACCTTTTAGAATCCACAAAAATTCACTGTGTTTTGACTCTATTGTATTGTACCCTAGAAAACTGATTAGATTCTTGGCTTATGTTGGAGGTGTCTCTGTTTTTAATATGACTATAACAGCTATTGTTTTGTAAACATTAGAAGTGGTGTGACTGCAAGGCTTTGCAGAAAAAATAACTTCAGAGATTTTCTTTTCTAACACATTGTTTTAAAAATGGATGGTATGGATACATTTCAAAAGATGCTAGGAATTACATCTTCAGTTATAATGAATCCTCTAGATATTAAATTATCGCAGGTTTCCTTAGAGGATCTCCAAATTTTAATTCAGAATACAGTTATTACTGCCGTTAGAGTGGCAATGAAAGAAAGTTTGGATTCTGTTCAAGACAAAATGGAAACTCTATCTCAACAAATCGCTACTAAGAGGGAGGAACTTCAAGAAACAATGGAAAGAAGATATACAAAATTCCGTGTATATACAAGATATAGAAGAAACCTACAATCCAACTGATATGATCTACAAAATGGACTATGCACCTACAAAGAGAAACAAAACCTTCAAAGATGTGTATTTGAGTTCTTATAAAAGAAACATAAGCGATGAAATCTTCAAGACAGGGATTGTTACATCATTTTAGAGAGAGGAGAGAGAAGAACTTGTGGAGTTTCAAGTCATCTCAAAAACTGAGTACAGGTGGCTAACACTGGAAGACACCTTCTACACCTACGAGGGAAAAAGACATAGAAGCATGACTCTAAAACGTAAGAGGAGAAACCAGATAATGAAGAAGAGGATGAAGCACTACAAAAAAGACTAAAAATTGTTGAGGGAAACTGTGAGAATTAAAGTGGAATAATATTCCATAAATGGACTAAAAAGTATAATGAAACATTAAGTTAAAGTCTAATCCAGAAGATAATAAGACTTATAGACTTTAAATATGGTTAATTGAAAAATATAACAAAATGCTTAGACAAAGTCTGATCTAGTAGTGAATAATAAGTTAATACTTATATATGTGCAAAAGATTACAAGACAATATAAGGTGAAAAAATGAAATGTATTTAAAAAATATATGAGGAAGTTTAGAAGATAAAACAGCGATATAGAATGGCATACCCCAATTTTATGTATGTTTGTGTTTGTTTTGTTTGTGTGGAAAATTTAAAAAAATATGATTGAAAAAATAATGAGAATGAATGGGGGCTAAAATAAATGTTTGCCCACCTGCATCCCATGCCCTTTGTACCAATCAAACTAATGAAAACCTTCTTTTCTTTATGGTTTTTTCCTCCTGATGATGCAAGTCCTGCAACACTGTTCTTGCCATCCTGAAATGAGAAACAAAGAAGATATAAGCATTCCAAAGTATTACTTTTCACTGGCTAAATGATAGTACTCATCATTGGGTAAGTAATTTTTTCAGAGAACAGTAGGAGAAATTAGATCAGTGACCCACCAGCATAATACTCATGGGTGCCATGTTACCCACTGAACTGTTTCCCTCAGCTCCTCCCCACATTTTACATGCAAACACACTGGAAGGGCTGTTGTAGGTATTATACACATGGATGGTTCCTGCAATGTTTGTCCTTACCAGGAATCAACCATTTGGGTGGCAGAAAAAAGTCTGAGTCCAGTGGCACCATTAAGACCAACAAAGTTTTATTCTAGAAGTTTACTGAGAGTTTATTGACATCATATGCAGACTATCAGTGACAAGCCTGAATGTTTTCAAATGGGGGGGGACTCGTAATTTTAGGTCACCTGTCTGAGCAAGTGATTTCAAGTTCTGAAGCAATTAAGCCAACATTCCTTTCATTAAAGGAACGAATGCATATAACAGTCATTGAACATTATTGGTTGGATCCAATCGAGTTTTCTGCTGATGAAAAAGTTTGGAGGGATCCCATCTGACCATCCAAAATGCTTTGTTGGGGATCAGGGGGCCAGCACGGAAAAAAGTCATATGGTAGACGGGCTGTTGTAAAGATGGGTATTGGCTGAAATTAAATTTGAAAGATGATTGGATCATTCTCTTTCTCTCTAATCTCACCCTCCTGAGTACTGTCTCTTAAATATTACATGATATCACTATCATATTATACAATATTATATTTGGGAGCAGATATGTCACAGATTCTTTCTCTATGATTACCCTTTACTGAAACACTCGTTTTGTGTATATAGGCCCTGGTCACATGGGAGATTTTGGCCCGGGAGAGGGACGGATTGGGGGCGCACGAAACGGGTGCTATCTCACTGCAACATCTGGGAAGCGGCGTGCACCCGTCCCCGATCCGTCCCTACACCCGGAAAACCCGCTGCAAAAAAGAGCCTCCTACAGAGGAGGACTTACCTGCAGCACCGCAGCAAGTGAGGCCGTGTGATTGACGGCGCGCTCGTCGTCTGGAGCAATCCAGGCTCCCGGCCAAACTGTGCACACGCACACATGCGTAGTTCGGCTGCCTTGCTCCCTCTTCAGCAGCTTCCACCCCGGCATCTGATCATGCCGGGGAGGAACTGCGCGGCAGCTCAGGGGATCTATGTGATCCCTCTGCCACGTGTTTCTTTTGGTGCACTTTGGCCGTACTTCCCCCCCCCCCCCGTGTGGCAGGGGCCATAGTTGACCATATCTTATCGTTCTACATGTATTTCTTAATCCCTCTAGTTAAAGGTACTCATGAAATTTAACAGGATAATAATGGAAAATCTTGGTATGTGAGGTTCTAGAACGCCACTGCCAGTGACTGTCTGTACTGGATTTATTCTCAAAGCATACAGAGTTGCCCTTATTAAGTCAGACAATTAGCTCAGTATCACCTATTCTGATGGGCACTGGCTCCTCAGAATCTTAGGGGGGGATGTGTCTCTCGTCACCTTCTACTTGAGTTATTTTAACCTGATATGAAAGGGACTGAAACTCGGACCTGCTGCACACAGAGTGCATGCTGTAATACAGCCCCTCTCCTGTGAAGTAGTGACCGGTCCAAAGTAATTCACACAGCAATCCTCAGCAGAGCTACACCATTCTGAGCCCATTGACTCCAATGAAGGGTAACAATACGCCTTCATGGCTGAGTGAGGATTTAAATCCAGATCTCTTTGGTCCACCTCTTTAGCCAATACATCACACTGGGTCATCTGTGGATTAATGGTCAGACTCAGGATAAGACAGCTAATAATGTCCAAAGTGCATAACACTAGTTCCATTTTCTAATGCATTCTTAATATAAATCCAACTCGTCTATACAGTGCTCAATATGCTATAATGTAAAAGTAGATGCAATACAATCTTCTTAACAGAAACCTTAACAATGCAATTTTAATCCAACAAAAGGTATTTTCTCAAATTGCATGGGTGTCTTACCCCCGGATTTGACACAAACTGGTCAACAAACTGCCATTTCAGAGGCTCATCCGGAGAACTAGAGGAAAATAAAAATGATTACATACGAAGTGGGGGAAACTGAAAAAAAAATCCAGATCCAGGTGCTTTGGCTTGTAACCTGAGTTACTCACTGTGAGATAACCTGCATTTTGTACTTGGCCAGGTGGAAGCAATGGCTTGTATCCTACTACTCCACTTGGGAAAGCCTGAAGGAGCCTTCCTCTAGAGGAAGAGCAACATCTGTCAGGGAAGGCTCCAAACATGTGATTACATGTGACCAGGGTTCTTTTTGTAGAAAAAGCCCAGCAGGAACTCATTAGCATAATAGGCCACACCCAATAGCAGAAACTCATTAGCATATTGGGCCACACCCCCTGACAGCACCACTCATTCGCATATTAGGCCGCACCCCCATGTTACCAGAAGTGTGGTCATTCAGCCACACCCACCTTTTGCTTCTTATTCTGTTTACCTTGTTTGTGGTCAAAACCCAGGGCCTTTTTTTTGTAGCAGGAACCACACACCCCTAATGTAGCCAATCCTAATGAGTTTCTGCTGTTGGGTGTGGCCTATTATGCTAATGAGTTCCTGCTGGGCGTGGCCAACTCAGGAGCCAGCTGGAACTCCGTTCCTGTGCGTTCCTGCCGAAAAATAGCCCTGCATGTGACCAATGCTCCCTCTAAGCTGTGGAGTCTTGTGAGCAAAAATTCTAATTTGTGAGATACTGGCATCAAAGTTGTGAGCAAGCGATTTGGCTACTGCATAAATTAGTGTGCTCTGGAGCCCCATCCTTCCTGAGCGAAGACAAAAATGTGTGAGCCGCAGGCTAAAAAACTGTGAGCTGGCTCACACTAACTCCGCTTAGAGGGAACACTGCATGTGACGTGTGGGGGAAGAAATCTGATATGGTGCCACAAATGGAGATGAAAGTTACTTATGTCTTGACTGATATGGAGGCCACTGTTTGCACTTTTTCTCCAACACGTTGGTCAGGTTGCAGCTTAGAACTGTTGGACTTTGGGCACAAAGCATTTTAATCAAAGCATTTTAGGATCCTGAGTTTTTTTTTAAAAAAATTGACGTATAGTGTATGGCAACAATCCAACACAGAGCTATCTGCTGATAAAGCCATTAATGCAAAGTATGTCTGCTTCTGTGTTGAACTGTGAAATGTGACTAATACATCACTGTTCTGTCACTCCCCTTCTGGCAAGATGGCATCACCAGTTTGTAAACCAAATCAACAAAAAAACGCTGAAAAATAACTGTCGAAGGCTTTCACGGCCGGAGTTCATTAGCTGCTGTAGATTATATAACCTTGCTAACATAAAACAGTCACATGTAAGACTGTTTCCTGTTAGTTATCTGAGTGGTGAAATCTTCAATATCCACAAAAAATTGTTGCTTGCAAAGTGTGCAGAAACTAATCAGCAGAAGCCAAAAGATGCTCCAAAAGATGCAGTGAAAATGGGACTATACAGGCCAAGTAATGTATGTCATGTGTATTCAGAGGAAAGACTGTTACCTTTTAACAGGTATCATGCCGACATCTGCATTGAAAAAAACATATCAGTTAACACCATTGAAGTCATTGCGATGAAAGATACTTGTCCCACCCCTGTTGATCAATCTCTTCCTACCACTGAGAGGTGCACTTTGCTTGCTTTGCAGCCTCTTTACCCACAGAGCAATCCTGCCCTTTCTGGAAATTTCTGCCTCACCTTGGCCCCGTTCACACAGAGCATTTGCTGCGCTGAAGGGACAATCGTCCCACAGATTTTCCGGGTGCGACCACACTGGAACATCTGGGAGGCGTAGCGCACCCGTAGCTAACCTGTGGCTTTTCGCCGAAGATGCGGAGTAAAAAACTACCACATACGAGATACTAGTTTCCGGAAAACGCGGGGCAAGGGTGGGCGTCTGATCGCGTTTCCTCGTGAATCTCGTGGCATCCAGCGCCCGTCCATGTCCCGTTGCAAACCGGATGGGTTTTTTTGTAAGTTTCCACAGGATGCGCACAAACGATCATGCGCATGCACAAACTTCGGCGAGGAAAAAAATCCCGTTTGCCACGGAAGCAGCGCCTAGCAATTGCCGGTGTGATCGCGCCGCGCCGCTTCTTTGCCTCACTGCAGGATAGCCGTGTGATCGGCACCTAACGGACTAACCACAGGACCTCGCCAGGACATGTGATCGGGCTGCTGCGCGATACTTTGCTCTGGGGCTAACAGCCACGCTCCCGCTCCCACATTTTCCGGCCTGTGTGACCGGGACCCTTGTATGTCAGTTCCCCTCCCATGGGAGGAAATTATTCCCGGCTCTCAAAAAGAAAAGAGGAAAAACACATGCAACATATCTCTTGCCTACTGACTCCCTCTCTTTCCAGGCTTTGTCCTGGGATCTGGGCCCAGGCAGGCAGCGCAATTATTTGCTTGTACATCTATGAGAACAAGCCTTCTCTCCTCGGTGAAATCCAGAGTTTCAGGGCAACTGTATATGGAGGATCCACCAATTAAATCAGATACACATGTCCTGTTGCAGGGCTATTAGCATTTGGTGTGGCATCAAATCCAGCCTTTTTACAGACACATGACACGGAGAATCCTTTGTTCCTATAAACTATCCCAAGTCCTTATGCATGAGTTTTCAAATGTGGGACAGGGAAGCATAACCATGAACAAAGGAACGCCCAGTTTGCCCTTCTTGGGTCCCGGTCACACGGGCTGGAAAATGCGGGAGGGAAGCGTGGCTGTTTGCCCCGGAGCAAAGTAATGCGCGGCAGCCCGATCACATGTCCTGTGGAGGTCCTATGGGTATGCCGTTAGGTGCCGATCACACGGCTATCCTGCAGCGCGGCAAAGAAGTGGTGCGGCGTGATCACACTGGCAATCACTAGGCGCCGCTTCCATGGCAAACGGGAATTTTTTCCCCTCACCACAGTGTGCGCATGTGCAGGTGGGCGTTTGTGCGCATCCTGTGGAGACTTAAAAAAACATCTGGTTTGCGACGGGACATGGGCGGGCGCCCGGATGCCACAGGATTCCAGCGGAAACGCAATCAGACGCCCGCTCTTGCCTCGCGTTTTCCGGAAACTAGCACATTGTATGTACTAGTTTTTTACTCTGTATCTTCGGCAAGAAGCCACAGGTTAGCCACGGGTGCACTACGCTTCCCAGATGTTGCGGTATAATCGCACCCAGAAAATCCGCCTACCATCCGTATCTTTAGCACGGCAAATGCTCCGTGTGAGCGGGGCCTTGGTATCCTGCTCTCACTGGCAATGAGAGTTTCAGTTCCAGGTCCATTTCAGATTGGGAAAAGGGCATGGGGGAAGGGCTTAACCCACCCTCCTCTTCACACTGCAGTTGACATCCAAACGAAGGTCCCACTTACCATCACCATCACCCCCACCACCCCCAAGATTTTTACCCTGCCTTTCTGTCCTCATAGGTCCAACAACAAATTAAAACATATACATTAAAATCTCACCTTAAAAGCCACTAAAACCAACAAAAAGACATCATTAAAACAAGTTAAAACCAGAGCTTAAAATAAGTAAAGGTTTCCCTTGCTGGAAAGCCAGTCGAATCTGACTCTAGAGTTGCGGTGCTCATCTCCGTTTCAAAGCCAAAGAGCCAGCACTGTCCGAAGACATTTCCGTGGTCATGTGGCCGGCATGACTAAACACCAAGGCGCGCGGAACGCTGTTACCTTCCCACCGAAGTGGTACCTATTTATCTACTTGCAATGTCTTGCTTTCGAACGGCTAGGTTGGCAGGAGCTGGAACTAGAGACGGGAGCTCACTCCGTCATGCGGCACACTCGGGTCTCGAACTGCTGAACTACTGACCTTCCACAGCCTGCAGTTCAGCGTCTTAACCACTTGAGCCACCGCAGCTCAAGTACAGAATATAAAAACAGGAGGAGGGATCACTGAGGGAATGCCAAGCAAAACAGAGTCTTCACCTGCTTTTATTTATTTATTCATTCCACTTTTACCCCGCCCTCCCCGCAAGCGGGGTGAAAGGTGGCAACAGGCAAAGTTTCCTGGGGAGAGAGTTCCAGAGTTTGTGTGCCACTACTGAGAAGGTCCTCTCCCAAGTCACTACCCACCTAAACTCAGAGAGTGGGTGTACTCGAAAGAGGTCTCTCTGAAGATGACCACTGCGGTTGGGTAGGTTTATAAGGGAGTAGGTGGTCCTTCAGGTACGTTGGTCCCAAATCATATGGGGCTTTAAATGTCTGCACCAACACCCTGAAGTGTGTCCAGAAATAAACTGGTAGACATAACAAAACTGGGGTGACATGTTCCCTACCAACCACTCCCTTCAACATCCTGACTGCGGCATTCTGCACCAACGGAAGTTTCAAAACACTTTTCAAGGGCATGCACTACAGGGGTCATATCTTTTGTGCCCAGGAAAGGCTACAGCTGGCTAACCTGACAAAGCTAGTGAAAGGCACTCCCAGCCACAGCTCCCACCTACTTATCCAGCAGGAGGCCTGGGTCCAAGAGCACCCCCAGACTATGGACCAGTTCCTTCAAGGAGAGTATAAGCCCCATCCGCTCACCAATAGCATTTCTGTCATGCTATTTAAAAGGAAAAAAATGCTCACCATGAGCTGAATACAGAACTCTCAGCATTGTGTCTATTTTGGCCTAGAACTGTAGCAAATCACCAAAACCATGTTCTACTCACGTCTCACTTTGATGGACACAATTTTCTTTGTGCGAATAAGATTAATCACTTCTTCATGAGTGCATGAAGAAATAGAGTATCCATTTATTCGAACGATTTCATCGCCAACCTAAGTAAAAAGAAAACAAGGGAAAGAGGATGAGATGAAATGCCTTGTGTTGTCGTTCAGTCGCACAGTCGAGTCCGACTCTTCGCGACCCCATGGACCACATCACGCCAGGCGTCCGTCGTGCTCTGGAGTTTGCTTAATGTCATGTTCGTTGCCTCGATAACACTGTCTAACCATCTCATCCTTTGCCGTCCCCTTCTTCTTTGACCTTCAGTCTTTCCCAGCATCAGGGTCTTCTCCAGTGAGTGCTCCCTTCTCATTTGATGGCCAAAGTATTGCCTTGTACACCTTAGCAGTTGGGTAACAAACAGCTTGCAGTCTGCATGCAGCCCCTTAATCAAAGCAACCTACACATATGCTATCCCCTCTCCTGCTGAGAAGTATACCATTGTTTGCCCTAGCAAGCCTAGGTAATATTTCGTCCAGCTTGTTCTTACCATTGAATTGGAGGCTTCTGTTACAGGAAGTAATATCAAACCAGGCACTGGAATGGTATGACTTACCTTTTTCCAGGAAGATACAGAACAGCACCCAAATTCTAAATCAACTCTGTGTAAATATATCCTAACAATATGGACTTCGTTTTTGTAAGAACAAGCGTTTCTAAATGGGAATTTACTAAAATAACAGGGGATACCATATTATGTTCCTAACCATTATCCACAATGAGAATTCATTATTTGGGAGTCCCAGTTGGACAGCAAAACAAAATATGTCACTGGCAAGGTGTTAGAGAGTTGATAGTGAGTCCTATGCTATGTATTATTATCATTGTAACTATTATTATTATTTTGAATGTCAAAGGAATTGGTTCTTCTTAGACAACAAAGAATGTCTTGTACAATACTGACATCTATTTCTTGCCACTAAGCACAACTGCCACGGGGCCTCTGCCTGAGGGCTGTTCTTGCATTTCCCCTGCGCCCCTCCTAAAAGCTCCCATTCCCTACTACATGCCATCAGTGAATTTCTTTCCCCCCCCCTAATTGGTAAGCCGTAAGGTAGTCTGGGGATGGGGGCTGGCAGCCATGGGGAACAAAGGCTGGGACTGGGAAAAGACTCAGGCAGATTTCACACAAGAGCTGCGCCGCGGCCGCGCCTCCCTTTGCCCCGCTTCTATTGGTCAATTTCCCACTCAAAGCCACGCAGCCACATTTTGACCCACGGCTTCGCCCGATTTCCCCCGCGGTTTCGTGATCCTCAAAAAACAGGATCACGAAACCACGGGGATCACAAAACCGCGGGGGAAATCGGGCGAAGCCGCGGGTCAAAACACGGCCGCGCGGCTTCGAGTGCGAAATTGACCAATAGAAGTGGGGCAAAGGGAGGCGTGACCGTGGCGCAGCTCTTGTGTGAAATCGGTCTCACATTTTCTTGTTCACACAGCATGCACCCTAGCTATGCTTTCCAAAGGCAGCATACTAATGCTTGTTCAGGAAAGATCACATAAAGTCCCCAAAATTCTTTGGAGAAGGTGGGGGGGGGGGGGGGGGGCAACTTCGCATTAATACTCAAGCTGAACAAAACACGGGGTTGGAAGCAGCCTAAGGTACAGCTCAGTAAAATCAGAATCTAGATTTCTCTTGTGTATCAGTTAAGTCAGTCATCCCTAAAGGTAAAGGTAAAGGTTCCCTTGCGCGAAAGCCAGTCGAATCCGACTCTAGGGTTGTGGTGCTCATCTCCGTTTCAAAGCCGAAGAGCCAGCGCTGTCCGAAGACGTTTCTGTGGTCATGTGGCCGGCATGACTAAACAGCAAGGCGCATGGAACGCTGTTACCTTCCCACCGAAGTGGTACCTATTTATCTACTTGCAATTTCTTGCTTTCAAACTGCTAGGTTGGCAGGAGCTGGAACTAGAGATGGGAGCTCACTCCATCATGCGGCACACTCGGGTCTCGAACTGCTGAACTACCGACCTTCCACAGCCTGCAGTTCAGTATCTTAACCACTCGAGCCACTGCAGCTCCCAGTCATCCCTACACGTTTAATAATTTTGCTATGCTCAAAGCAATGTTCCCTATAAGCTGTGGAGTCTTGTGAGCAAAAATTCTACTTTGTGAGCTACTGGCATTAAAGTTGTGAGTGAGCCATTTGGCTACTGCATAAAGTAGTTTGCTCTGGAGCCATCCTTCCTGGGCGAAGACAAAAATCTGTGAGCTGGAGGCTAAAAAAAACTGTGAGGTAGCTCACACTAACTTAGCTTAGAGGGAACACCGACTCAAAGTATATTTAGGAATTTTTTTGTAACCTACAGTGCAATCTTCTGCACAGTTACTCTAGCCTAAGTCAATTAAAATCAGCTGGGTTCAAGTTCGGAGTAACTGCATAAAATGGCACTGTTAGGTTTGCATTCAATGAATCTTATTTCTAATATCTGTAATGTAAGTTTTAACTTCTGGCTTTGTATTATGGTTTATTATACTGCATATTAGACCAATGTTACCAATGTGTGCAATAAAGTATGTGAACAAGGGAGGAAACAGACACATCAATCTAGTACAACACTCTCAGCATATGAAGGAAGAAGCTAAGCAGCAGCGTGAACAACCATTCAGTTTAAATATGGAAGCAACCAAGATGAAATGGATCTATGCAGAGTAATTCAAGCAGCTACAGAATTGCAAGGATTACTTTTCAGTTTTACTCATGGCATCAGTTATTGTTACATGGTACTTGATTTATTCACATGCTGAGTCAAATTTAATGCAAGCTTAAAAATCAGCCATTTGAGGCCACTTTTGTAGCCAAGGAAGTCACGTCCTGAACAGATGTTAGGCTATACAATTAATCACTGCCATAAACATCCCAAGCCTAAACTGCGGCAGTTTTTCCTTATTCAGTGACCAAGACCCATTTAATCAGGCATTAGCACTGTTCCTACTAATCCGCCACAGAAGACCAGTCCTATAATTGCCCCAGGGCCCAGAAATCCTCCCAACAACACTACTTCTCTGAGCAGAGCTAATTTGTGTTTGAAATCACTCAGCTACTGATGGCATTCTGTAGCCAACCAGTGGGGACTCGCAAGAAACTTGCGTGGAGGGGGGTGTTCTCTCTTTCGTCCCTCTCCCCCCATCTTCCCCTTTCTTTCTCTCCCCAAGCCAATCTTCCCTTCTTTTTCTTTCCAACCTTCCACCAAGCCAATCTCCCCAGCCCTGCTGCTTCAGTGGCAGTGGCTCTCTCCCAGTCCACCCAACCCTACCTTCACTATCTCAATGGCTCAGCTGCAGTGAGGGAGTAGGAGCTCTGTCTATACTTGCACAGACAATGCTCTTATATTTGGGGGGATTTAACCCCCACCTCAATTTTTTTTCAGTTTTCAGATTTTTCTGCAAATGTTCGGGGTTACCCCAATTTTCAGTAAAACTTGTTTGATGTAAGTGTGCCCCCTATATGTGGATTTAGATATCCGCACACAGGGGGCATGTCGAGAAGTAGATATATAGATATTTGCATTCTTAATATTTGCTAGAGGCAAGATTAAATTTCCTGATTTTTCATTTTTCACAGCAAAAGATATTTCAGGCAGTGAAAGGTTTTCCAATTTAGAAATAAAGAGGGGTGAGTAAACCTCTGTATGTTCTCTTGCATCTCATTATACTGCTTCAGTTACCTAAGGGAGGGGATAATGACTCAGAAGATATTTATTTTGGTGCTTTTATCCCACTTTCCTTCTGCACAATGTACTGATGGGGATTTGCTGATGTTCCCACCATAATTGTCCCAATTGGAGTTTTGGCAAGTTTCTCCTTTCCGCCAGTAATTGCATAGCAGCAGACAGTGGTTCTGATTCTATGTAGTCATATGTTTGCATGAAGTTATGTTCTTGTTGGTCGAATCTACATTTGTCTTTCCCACTGGTGTCCCAGCCTTCTGACACCGTCTTTAAAAAAGCTGTCTACGTTTGGTTTCGTTTTCACACCTCAACAGTGCTAGCATACTTTTGCGCATCCGCATATGTTTACTGCCCTTTCGTGGCGGCTCCACTGTCATTGCACCTCTGCACTGCTTTAAAAGAATCTTCTCCAAACAACGTTCAAACGAGCATAGAGAAAGATGGCGTCACAGCAGCACGAAACTGATTAAAAATGCAAATGCAGATTCGACTGTTATCTAATGGTAAGCTTCCTGGTTTTACTTTTTTTAAAAAAAAAGAGTCTATCCTGCTCTCTTAACCCTTACAAAACTTTGCTTGTTCCCACTGGCAGTAAGACGAGACTGTAAAGCCCACTGGGGATAGAAGCAGAGGTCTGGGCTGCCGCCCTTCAACAGATACTTTCCCTAAAGCTGGGAGCAGGATAGACTCTTTAAAAAAAAAAAAAGTAATACCAAGAGTGATGTTTTTATTCCAAACTATCCCAATATTGTACAAGATGGACATATTAACCAAATGGCAACAGGAGATCTCGAAATTCGTCTGGGCAGGCAAAAAGCCCAGAATTAAAATTGGCATGCATACTTATGGTATGAGAAGACTAAAATGGATAGTTTTTTTAGACATCATGTGGTGAGACGTGCCTTATTTGCGACATGGACAAGATACAGAAGATATTTTCGAGATGCAAGGCCACTATGGATTGTACCAACAGAAGTTTTGACACCATATTCAAGACAGCAAGGCAAGGAGTGTTTGCCTTATAGAGACTTAATTATGAAGCAAGGAACAGAATGGGTAATGAAAGGGCAGGATGAAATTCAATATAATTATGAATGGTTAAAATATATGCAGATTTATGATGTTTTTAAAATGAACAAGAAAAACTATGGTTTTAGAGAAGATAGAAACGAAGTAGAAACTGTTTGGGAAAGTGGGGGGAGGAAAATGGTTTCTAATATGTATAAAATACTGTTGAAATGGTTTACGGAGGATGAATCTGTAAAAGAGCAAATGATAAAATGGGCAGTTAATATGAATAAGGAAGTAACTATAGAAACATGGGAATATTTGTGGAAAAATTCTATGAAACTATCTATATGTACCAATGTAAAAGAAAACTGTTA